TCAATACAGGCATAACCAGCATTTTTTGGGATTTAGATACTCATTTCCTTGAGGACAAAATTATACATTTATATTTGCTCTTAAACATGCAGAGGTAAGGGATGTTGTGTGTGTGTGTGTGTGTGTGTGTGTATCTTTGTATTTGAACAAAATTTGAAAGACTTTGGTAAAAATATATTCTCAAAACTTTTACAATAATACTTTCAGGGCATTTGCAGTTGTTATTAAATAGTACAATATTACATGATCCCAGTTTTATTTTAGTATATAAAGGAGAAAATTGAGAATTCAGAATTATAGGATTTAGACCATAATCTATACCCAGAAGACACCTGTGAAATTACCCAAGAGACTGAATTGACAAGTGATTGTAGGTAGAATTGATTACTGTAATCTAATTTCCATTTTCATTTTAAATGCAAAGATGCCTGATTGCTAGCAATTAGAACCTTATACACATTGGTACACTCACCTATCTTTTGTTTTTAAAACATTAGTTTAGAATATTAAAATTTGTCTTACACATTAATATTACACTGTAAATGATAATTTATAATGCCATTGATAAATCCTTATTGCCTACCACTGAGGACATGAGAAAAATAATATTTATCAATTTGGTCTTTTTTTCACCCACACTATATATTGGGCTAGAATCCTTTAATCTCATCTAATTCTGAATGGCAACAATGTTCTCTGGTTCTTAATGGCTGGTTCTTTTCTGTTGAAATCATAAAACCTCTATTGAATGCAATTGAATGGCAAAAGAAATATATAGAGAGAATAATGGGTTAGACTATAGCTATCCTTTTACAAGGTACTTAGTGAATCAATGTCTCATTTTATTTAAACAGTTTATAAACAGTTGTATAGCTTTTGAAAAATGTTCTACAATTGGACAAACTTTCTCAGAAAACATTTTTGCAGATATGGTACTCTAATTATTAAGTATCTGAATGGTAGATTGATAAGTTTTGAGTATTTTCATTTTTGGGTAGTATATATTTAACTCAGACTGCAAGCTTAATAAGATATTAACTACAAATAGAGATGTCAGAAATGAAGAAAGGTCTACAAATACTCAAAATTAAGAAAAAGTTCAGAGGTGTGAAAATAGTTGAATTTAGAGGCATAAATTAATCTGAACGTCTTATGAACATTTACACATTGTTTTTGAAATAAAGGTAGTATTTCAGAATATTGAATACAATTTTCTAGTGCATTATTTTAAAAACTGGCAGTCCTTGCAGACATATTGTTCCTGTAGACATGCTGTTCTTGTGAAAATATGTTATTTTGCATTGGATTTTTTAAAATTTCAAATAAAGTTAATTTTGTGTTAAAAAATTTATCATTTTGTAGAGAGAATGCAATCGTAGGCTAATGCCAATAGTCTTTGAAATTCATAATGTTATCTATTATGTAAAACATTCTTTGTCCCAGTTAGTTTTTAACTATTAGTGTTTTAAAACAAAATTAATTATTACATATCAGTTAAATGTGTCAAATAAAATACAAAAGAGCTGACTAAACTTTTAAAGGCTACATCAATTTTAATAACATTTGGAAACATAACATTTAGAAAAAAAGCTTAAATGATCAGTTTTCCATTACCTAGAAACATGTAGATCTTCAGTGGGATAACTAAGCATAATTAAAATCCTTTGGATGAATGTTGAAGCCATATTTACAACTGTCATTTGATTTTATCAGTTTTGTTTTGCTAAGTTATTGCATATTGAACTAGGACGTTTAAAATGACAGTCAGAAAAATGATTTCCCCAAAAAAGAAAGTCTTGTTTATGCTCAGATCTGAACCATTTTCTTGCTTATGATATATATCGAGGTTGAAATTCTAGGTGAAGCACATCTCTATTTGTGGCTAAATCTACTTCATTTTAAAACCAAGGTAAACTCATTTTATCATAAGGGGAGGACTAGGTATAACTGATGAGTGGATAAAAGATTGTCAGTAGAGGATTTGGCACTGCTATTTGTATTTTCTTCAAGAGAGAAAATGTTCAGTAGACAATTTCCAGAATTTGAAGAATAATCTATAACCTATAATTGCCAGACAGTTGTCATACCAGGTTTTATTTTTTGTGGCCATTAGTGTTTGAATACTAATGCATTTCCATTTTCTTGGGGGTGGTAATAAATGGAATGCCCATCAACCAAATAATGAAATGGCTAGGTTAGAACTTTTATTTACTTTTTTCAACAGCTTTATTCATTTTGCTTACTTAAAGTATAATACTTATTCTGTGATAACGAGTACCTACATTTTTTAAAAGCAAGAGTATGACATGTTTTGCTTTTGAAAGGTTGCACTAACTTAAGCATACAAATGATTATGAAACACCTGTAATGTGTCCTGTTTTGTGGGGATATGAGATGATTAAGGCAAGTCCCTGTCCTCAAACTGTTTATAATCTAGCTCTTTGCCAATACAAATTATCAACATATTCACTTAAAAATGATATTCTTAAGAATTGGCAAATCTATATTTCTAATATTTTAGAACCAGTGAAATGAACACATACTTTTCATTCATTTTGTAATAACTTTAACCAAACTACATTGCATTTTATATTTTTTCTAGGTAATTTTCTTTAATGTTGGTGGGATAAAATCTATCTTTTTCTAAAAATGTTCAACAAAACAAGCGACTTGCTTTATTCAGGCTATACAATTTGATTTGTATTAGTAAATCTCATTCTCAAAATTAAATAGTTAATAGTTTGCTTCAGGGAGGACCCTTGTACAGTTCTTTGGAGGAAAGGATTATCTCATTGTTTTCAAGGAAGATGTGCATTAAAAAAAGGGGTTGATGGATTGAGGTCTTATTTATGGAATCTTTAGGTAAAGTCATTTTCAAAAATGAGATTTCCATTACATGCCCAATGCTGGGGTTTCATTTGGAAAATTTGTTTACTCTTCCCTGGGGATTCCATATTCCATATGTTGGTTGATTTATAAATCATATTTACAATCCAATTAAATAGAGTAATTTAGCATGTTTGCTCCCACTATATTTATGGTGTACATTTGGTAGTCTCTACTCAGCCTAACTAGCTTTTCAGATTAATTACATGCCCTTTACTGAAAACATTAAGCAGATTTGGGGTGTTTAAGAAGTGTACTCTTTTACTGGAAAGAATAAACAAACATCAATGCTACCTGTAGTTGTTTTCCTTTGAGGTGGAAAATTTTACTCTTTCAGTGATTGCTTCATAAATAACAATTACTTTACCCAGTAGAGATTTATATCTTTTACTAATGTCATGTTTCAAAATTAATAGTGAGAAAATTGATGTATTTAACGAGTCACTAGTATGAATGGTGAAGGTGGCAGTTACATTTTAAAGCATGTTTATTCTCTCATCTTGCTTATGGCCATTTCCCCCCTAAATTTCTAAATCTGAACTTTAAAAGTAAAAAGAAAAATTAAGACAAAACTTTTCACTCCAAATCTAGGTTGTAATTTAACCTGAGGGAAAGTCCAGAGCTATTTTTACACTGTTTAAATTTTAAAAAAAAATTTTAAGCAAACATTTTAGCCTCCTTTTGCCTTTTTGTGGATGTCAGATCTTTCCAAGCTTTCCTTCTGTTCTGCAATACAGAGGAGACTAAAATGACTCTAACTATATTGCAGATTTTAGAGAACTTTGAAATGTTTATACTAATAGGAATAATAACATAAAAGCAGGTTTGGTGCTTGACAAAGAAATGCAGTCATAGAATAAGTAAGGTGCCTGAAGGTAGCATGGGCCTACATCCAATGTTCTGCCTCCTCCTAATTCCCCAGAACTCTGAAGTGAGACTGTATTCCAGCCTGGTTTCTCAGGGGGGACAGTCCTGGGCAAAAAAGAAGTGGGTGCATGTAAGGATATTGTAGACATTGCAACAAAACACTTGAGGAGCCCCTAATCAAGGGGGTATCAGGGGAGGAAAGGGAAGATGACAAAGCAAGAATTTCAGAGAGCACTGTCATTTTGAAAGATAGAAAAATACAAAGATAAAAAGAATGGGAAGAAAAAAGTTAGTTACGATGATAAAGAAAACTCACCAACAGGTTTTTTTCTACTAATGAGAGTGTTGTTTCTGTCATGTATAATGTTAGTAATCTAACCTTATGTATTTGTAAAATGTTGAGCAAAGATTTTCGTTATTTTAATTTGAACCTCAACATTTTAATCTTCATATTCTTATGTTATGATTCTTGGTGCACATTGGCATCAATAATATATATTAATTAATGCTAGAATGGAAGAGCTGAACGCAGATGCAACCATCTTTCTATAACTGACCTGGAATGATTCCTTTTCAAACTAATTCCTCATAGGTTATTAGGAAAATCCCAAATAAACATGATCAGAACTATAATCTTGATGCAATGCTAGCTTTCTCCTGCAACTTGATAGCTTAGTATATTCATGCTCATCTGCCGAGAGCCTTAAAGTGCCTCCTGTGAGCCATTTTCTAATGAGCCATTCTCAGAAAGAAGGAAAAACGTATTTTTTTAGAAGTTAAGAAACAGAATGAGGATACAGCAATGAGAATCTAGAATAAGAAAGAATATTTTACCAGATGTTATCTCAAAATATGCCCTAGTTTGAGATTAAATTATGTCTGTCTTTTAATTGTCCAGCAAAAGCAGAAAATATTTGCTACAGAAGATCCCGTGTCAGACAGGGATGGTAACTGCTTTTAAACAGGGCCACTGACTTGCCAATTGCCCTAGAGTAAATGGCTAAAATCCTTAACCTGTATTATTGGGTATAAAAAGAGAATAAAATTTATTTATGCTAAATAGTGATGTGCAATGATTTCTTTGTTTAAGAGTACATATCACCTTTTGGGACCCATGTAATGCATTTTAATTTTAATTCAACATTGTGTTGTACTCCTTATATGTTATCTTATAATTATTATAAACTCAACAGTACAACACAGCCCTCATTATTTGATAAAATGTGTTGAATATTTCTTTGTGGTAGGACATACTCAAGAAATCGTAGCTTCCTTTCTCCTTCCCAATTTTTCGAAGAACAGGCACTTTGGCAAACAGAACATGAGGTATATGCTCTTACAGACCAAGGACACAAGTTTAATTCCTTTACTTTTTTTCTTACTGCCAGAAATTCATAATTTAATTCAGTTAAATCACACCCATGTATGTAGTCTACTCCAAATATCACTCTAAATTGAGAAAATAATTTTTGAGACCCCACCATTGCATTCTCAGAGATGTGTAAGTGAAAATAATATCAACATGAATTAAATCAGAAAACAATTTCTATGTTGCAACTGAACTGGAAAAAGCATCTAATTAACATATGTCTGCTTTACTTACCTCTAAGGATTAAATGAGTTTTACTAATAAGAAATCTATTATTTGCATTTTACTTTCACTAGGAAATATGTTGCTATGGAATTCATTCACATCACTACCAGGAAAAAGGATTTACTCTTTCTTTTTAAATCATGTAGAAACTAAAGGGAAAATTAAGTTATTTGAAGAAGGATGTTGAGTGTTCATGCCAAAATCAGATTGGAAATCAGGGTGTTTTTAGTGTTGTTAATAGTAACGATACCAACAATAATTGGATGCCAATAGAGTACTGGTTTCTAGGCAGATGTGCCTGCCAGAGCTGCTGCATTTTGTTTGCAAACAGATTTTACATGTAAATTCATTTCAAGAGATTTATCCATGTGGCATTTAAAAATTCACATCACGGGGCCTCAAAACTTTGCAAGCAAATCTTCCAATTTCAAAACCACACATATGCAGTTCTTTTATAGTTGGATAGCCAGTTTCCTTTTTGATAAAATAGCTCTGGAAAAAATACCCCCAATCTTCATTTTAAAACCCTTAAAAAACAAACTGTCTGATTTTGCATGTCCTTTGTCCAATAGCATTTACAGCATGATGTTTTAAAATACCGTCCATGTTTTATTTAGCAACAGTTGCACTCATTTTGAGTTTCTAAACTGACAGCCCACATTCTGTGCACCCCCCTTTCTGGAAATGAAAGCTACACCAACCAGGCCCTTCACAAATGGCTCAACAAAAGAGCCAAACAAAACCGAAGTACGGGGAAGGTTGACAAAGGCATATGGATAGCAGAACAGATTCTAAGAGTATTTAATCACCACTAATTCTTTCCTCACCCTGCATAGCCTTCCTATAATTCTGAATAGCAAAGCAAATACTGTGAATTTTCTGGTCATAGCCTCCTCATAACCTTTGTGGAAAGAATAATATCTTGTCTCTTGGCATTATGTTTGTTTAAATAGCAAGACTGTGAATGCCTTTAGAATATGCTTAAGGTCAAACCGTAAAAAAAAAAAAATCAGAAAGTAGAATCAGAATATTGTTAGCTACCACCACTCAAAACTTACAGTCTGCTTCTCTCTAAGAACCTGTGAAATGTCAACTACTGTAATGTGATTATTTTCACCTCTTCTCTTTTCCTACTCTTCTTAGGCACCAAATGGCCTCCCAACTGTGAGCAGTTTTGTGTCAGCATCCAGCATGGCTCCTTATCCTACCCCGGCCCAAGTGTCGCCTTACATGACCTACAGTGCTGCTCCTTCTGGTTATGTTGCTGGACATGGATGGCAACATGCCAGTGGCACCCCACTTTCCCCCCACAACTGTGACATTCCCGCGTCGCTGGCATTCAAGGGCATGCAGGCAGCCAGAGAAGGTAGTCACTCGGTCACAGCTTCCGCACTCTGATGGGAAGTTCCGTCTGCAACAGCTTCACCAGGCCCCCCCTCAGCACACCCGCCCCATCTCCCCCAATCTCAGACCTCACCCTCCTCCCCTCCCTCCCTTCTGCCTGGAGAGCTGGTTTTACGGACTCACCTCCTTTGTGCTGATGACACTTAAAAATTTCTTGCCATAACTTCTCTTTCACAGAAAACCTGACATGATGTTAGGATTCAAAAACAAAAGCAATATTAAGGACTGAATGAGACATTTGTGCTGCCCACACACTGTTTTAATGTAGTGAAGAAACCTGCACCCCTCAAAGGGCTTAAGGAACTTTTTAAATGATTCTTTGGTAAAACCACATGTGTATATTTATTCTAAATCAACCTAAACTTTTGAAACGTGCAATTGTTGAGATTTCACAAAATCAATAAAGGAAAATACATGTAGAAAAAAGTTATGCTACACCCTCTAATCAAATAAGGTGACCAAATAAGCCTTAATTCATCACTAGGAAACCAATCAATAATTGATTTGAGTGATCCTTTATTTTTAAGAGATGACCTGTTTTGTTGGAGAATATATGTATAACACAAGCAATATCTGAATTTAGCTCCTCCCGGTATTTTGACTTCGTTCCAAATATGACAATGTTTATATTTCTGTTAGTTTGTAAATATGGACTCTGGATGGTGCATTTGTGTTTTCATTCCATGGGGTGTCCCCCTCCCCCACTCCTCTATTTTTTCTTTCTTTTTGCAAAGGTGACTTTTTGGCAACGTTTTTGTCTCTGTTTGGTGGTGGGCTGCTCAGGCTCCTGGATCTGGACTTGCCATAAATTCTGTGTGTGCAGGGAAGGCTTCAACATTGCATGAAGGACATTTTCTTTCTACAGCAGAGAATTCGAACAACAGATAAAACAAGCCAGTCTCCCATTCTGTACCCTAATCAGACAACACATGTGCCAAACATACAAAGACAAGGTGGAAAAGGTTTGAACAAGAAGGCTCTAAAGGAAGTCACTTAGAAACTCAACGTTTAATGTGAAAAGCTTTGCAAAGACACTTAAAATGAACTTTCTGTTAAGAAAACCACTGTGAAACTAAATTGTACTGTTATTGTTGGCTAACCTGTGTGTTCAGCAATCTCAGCCCAAAATTACGTTGTAATTTAAAGAAAATGGGAAATTCTGCTCTAATGAATGTAAAAATGGCTTGCTGTGAAGTTTACATTGTTGTACAGAAGCATGTTTCACATGTAGGTAAACTGGTGGTGGTATTAGTAATACAGATGCTATTTAATTTTTAAAATTTCCCTTTATTCATTTCTGGAGTTACAGGACACCGTTTAACGGATAAATCTTTCTAGACCGATTTTAATGTTAATAATAGAGCTGTGGGGCATATGTGTGTGTGAACGTGTGATTATATGTTGCATTTTAAAACAGTTGATTTTCTTGGGCAAAATTCTAGTTTTTAATCTCTTCTGTTTAGAATGTTCTTCCTGTTTGGCAATATAGGCTTAAAAATATGTTTGTAAAACATTGGTACAATTCACCTGTTGGAGAATTAATATATTGCAACTTTTTGGTATTAATTCTGTGCAATAACTAAAAGGGCACATCACTAGATATGGTTGTTAGAGATGAGTTAGGTGATTTTGATTTCTTCCTATCTGTGCTGTGCACAGCCTATATGGCAATCAAGTTATCACATTGGTTTCACGGCTTCATTGAACACTCAGATGGCTAGATTAGCCAGGTTTTCAAATCACTAGGATATAAACAGTAAACAGATTTCTGACATACAAGTTATGTTCAAGGAATTGTTTTCTCCAAGCAGCAGATATCTTATAGAGAGCTTTGAACTGCATTTATTTTTAAAGCAATCGAAATTCAGTGCTACAAATAGAGGATTATAACTTCAGGAGAAGAATAAGCAGAAGGAGCAGATGAACTCTCAGGGCCATAGTCTTCCTTTGATCTCGTAAAACTCTTATTGACATCTGGAGTTCCTAGTCTGGTGAGAAAATAGACTATAAACCGAATGGAGCAAAGATACCAATCCAATATCCTGGTGGAGACTTTAAAACCATACCATACTGTGACTCTGCTGCCGTCTAGAAAAACTGACATAAGGTACAGAATTTTTCCTTATCAGATGTTTTTAGGTGGCTATTAGGAGTCTTTAAAAAACTATCAATTGTTTGTATGGAAACATAACTAAATGTTGTTTTCTTTATCTAAATTAAGAAATCTCTTGTTATTATGCTATTTATAATTTTTCTGGTTCTTGTATTTTTTTTAAAAAAAATCTAATATTAATGATATCAAAGTTTTCTTTTTTTTCTCTCCCCTCCCCTTTAGGTCTTTTCTTAGCAACAGTGAATTCACATGAAATAAATTTAAAAGGACAACAGAAACCCCAAATACAATTTGCTACTTAAAGCAATTATGATTTAAAGCTACTCTTAAAAATAAGAGAAGGAAAATGGAATGAGATATGGGTTTGGGATTTTTTTTTAAACATTATTATTATTGGTTAGCATTGACATATTTCCTCTGTTTCTTAGCGGGTGAAAATGTTTTAAACTGGCAAATGCACTCTTCAGAGATCCTTTTCCATCCCATCCACATGGAGAGGTTAAAGGTTCAATTTCATGGACTCTGTGCAGGCAGTGCTCTCACAGGATGCAAGAGTATTACCTGCAAGGATAGAATGCAGTTGTATAACAGACACATTCTTATTTCTCTTGTTTGTTTTTTTCCCTACTTTTAATGACCCTCTTTTGAATATTGGGCTGAACTATAAATTAAAAAACACGCTGGAAAGGATGTACAACCGAAGGCTGTGTATGTATATACAGTATGTCAAAAAGCCTTTATTTTTATACTTCAAATGCTCTAAATTAATAAAAAGTAATAATTACCATGTTATCTTTTATTTTTTATTTTCAAAATGCTTTAATAACATAGCCTCATGGTACAAATATCCCATAGAAATAGTTAAGAACAGGTGTCACCTACAACATGCAGATATTTTTGGTGACTTTTGGCTACTGAAGTAGCATCATTTAAGGATGTAGATATAAAATCCTTTGGTTATATCAAGGCCAAGAAGATATTTTTTTGGAGTGCATGTTAGTACAGGAACCTTTGAAATGCTAAGAATGTACTTCTATTTTGAAACATTTTTCCTGAATAATACATATTTTAACACTGCAAATATCATACTCCACACCTGTAGCTGTCACCAATAACTAATAACCTGGCAATGTACTTTACTTTGAATGTTCTTTTAAGAATGGCACAAGTAAGAGTTTTGAACAAAAGCATTTGGGTACAAATACAGACAGCACACATGGGTCCAAGAAGTGGTTCCAATTTGTGATTTAACATGAACATATTTCAGCAACAAAACTTGTTTTCAAAGGGAACTATGTGAAGAAAAGTAGTTTAATATAACTTCATGTTTTCTATTTGTCATAAAAGACTGCAAATATCAGAAGTTTAAAGTATGACCTGATTTAAACAACAGTACAAAGTATAAAGTAGATTTAGGAGAATATAGCTGAAATGTGAATTATTACTAGAAAACTGAACAGATTTGCATTTTAACATAAAAGTGAACATATTAAAAAGGAATTTAGTGCACCTTTAAAATACTTTATTTGTGACTTTTACATATTATTTATGGAAGAGTTAAATTTTTAAAAAACTTTAAATTTTGGCTTTTTTTTTTTTTTTTACTTTAAGCATTTGTTGGCCTCTTGGGGAAAAATAATTATCAATACAATAGATTTTCATTGTGAACCAATGTAAATAAAACATAGGTCACAAAACTTATATTGCTTTTATGAAATATTTCTGACTTCTACACTATTTTTTTATATTCAGTTTGCATACCTAATTGCTTCATATTATTTTTATTCTTACAATTTTATGAATATGGCCATAACTACAGTCTCAAATTGTCTAGAGATAATTTTTGAAGTATCAAAATAGATTCTGATCTTAGATTGTTTCCCCCTTTATAATTGTACATAAATTATAATTTATAACTGTATCAGATTAGCTGATTGATAGTTTCAAGGTGCTGTAGAGCAAATATGCATTATCTCCAGGGGTAAAAACACGTCGAAGGCAATCACCAGTTCTCCTGAAGCCATGAATAGGTATATTCATAAACCAGCAGCATCACTGCACCACCTAGAAAAGAAAAGAGCTGTCTCTTATCACAATCCTGTAAAACAGGGATGTCTTTCCCCCTGAGAAGTCCCACCCAACCCATCGGGCAGGGGCTGTTAGAATCATCAGTTCTTGAGCTCCAATATATAGATATAAAACTACTGTGGAAAATTTTCAGAGCAAAATCAAGACCATCTTGAGTCTCCAAATACATTTTCCCTCCATGAGTTTCTGTAACTTTCATCATTTCTCATCAGATTCCTTTTCAGGCACTTTTAATTTTTAAAAGTAAATAAATATAGACATTTAGTCATGTAAGGGCATGTGGCTTTCCTGCAAACAGAAGCCTTCAGGTTCTTCATATGTAGGCAAAGGATTTATCTTTTTCAGTCCGTAATTAGCATTGTTGTGGTTGCATCCAAGAAGAAAATCTCTAAGCTGGTGCTTGACGAATGAGGCTGCTTTTCTCTTACAGCTTTCGATTTGGATTGCAATGTGAAAAATAGCTTCTGAATATTAAAAAAATATGTATTGCAAAACTGAGCTAGCTTTCAACCTCCTTTTGTTTTCATTCCTTTTATCTGCCTAGGACATATATGGATTGCACTTGAAAATTTGGTAGTAGGGGTGGGTGTCATAAGAGCACCACTTGTCTTGGTAGAGAAGAGTTATATAACTGGCTGCAAGAGGCTTGCTATGTAATATGTCAACAGGAATATGATACAGGAAAACAGGCACAACCCTGTTGAATACCTAGACATCAGGAGAGCATTTGTATGTGGGCGATTTTGTGTTCTATCTAATGCAGTAAATTGCACACGTTCTGTGTCCTTTAAGACAATCTCTATTTCTCCTTTCATGTCTGTGTGAAAACGATTACAAAATCAAAATGTGGACAAATATCCTCAGCGCAACTTAGAGAAGACTTGGCTGAAGGAACAGAAGACTGACTTCTAACAGAAAGAAAGAGAACTTGATTTTAGTTCTTTTGTACACACCGCCATATGCTTTCTAAAAAACCTACAGGCTGCACATGTTTGTGTAACTTTATACCAAAGATAATTATCTGCCTGCAATTTTCATTTTTAACCCATGAAGATACTCTACTAGACCCGTCTCACTGCTGTAGCCCTCTTGGCGCTCTGGCAAGTGAGGAGGAACGCACTGCAGAGGGTTGTGGATATGTATGTAACTGCAGTGTCTACTCTTATTAACTATTCACAACGTAAGACAAGAACACACAGAACTGGGCTAGTTTACAGGCTAGTGATATTTGAAGTTTAAACCACAGACTTCAAGATTCTCCCTTCATGCGAGGTACCTATCAGCAGCCACACAGAGTTGCTAAGATGAGATGCTTCTCCAGAATGAAGAATGGAAATTCCAGGCTCACCTCTCTCTCTCTCTCTCTCTCTCTCTCTCTCTCAAAAAAAAAAATCATCTTACCTTACCTTTCTCTTTACCTTCTTTCATTTGAAGTTGGTAGGACTTACACGTTTGGAATGAGAGTGAGGCCAGGTCTTAGAATGAGATTTCTAGTTACTCAGTATTGTTTAGCTTGGATAGAACATCCACAACAACCCTTTTCACTGGATTTAACACCACCACAACTCAGGATACCTCATGCAAAAACATTTTTAAAAGCCAACCAAACATTTGCATGCCTCTAACAAAACTTGGGGTCAGATTATTTAAAGAGTTTTGGATTAAGTTTCTAGCCAATTACCGTTTTAGTTAAACTCTCCAGGGTCATCACCCTTTTCAGGCCCACTCCCTCCTGAGAAAGCTGGGTTAGGGCCAGTCCTCTGATTTTCTCTAATGCTAGGTCTACTAGCAGGTTTTTACTGTGTGGTGAAGGAAAAACACCACATACAGAGAGAATTGCACTAAATCACCAATATTCTTATCATTGGGTCCTTTTTTTTTTTTACAATCGGGCCAAAGACTAACAGAAGGCAGGTCTGAATCTCAAATGTGAAGCAAAATCCATGCTTAAATGCCTAGAAAAGTAGTGATAGATGGAT